ATGAGTGAGGAGTGACCCAATTAGCTCTTCAAGAGTTAAGGACGTTAAGTCCTTAGACTCGATGATTGCCGTCTTCTTTGATTGCCACGATTTTGGGAGGGAGTAGACTAACTTCCTCACAAGCTTTTCATTTGAAATGATCTCTCCATATGATTTGAGACCAATGACAATCGTTGAAAATCTATCCGTCATAGCTTTGATATCTTCATTTGGTTTCATCCTGAAATTTTCATAGCTATGCGTTAGAATACTAATTTTAGATTTCGTTACCTCATCGGTACCTTCATGAGTGACTTGAAGTTTGTCCCATATTTCTTTGGCGGTTGTACACGATGAAACTCTTCCGTATTCATCTGGTCCAAGAGCACAAAAAATGATATGGATGGCTTTGGAGTTGAGCTGGAACATTCTTGTCTCTCATTCACTCCATAACCTTGGATGAGTGAGAGGTTTGATGTATCATTCTTCTACAGCATTCCATGCCCCCATGTCGCTTGCTTGAATGAAGTACATCATTCTATTCTTCCAATAGGCATAATTAGCTCCATTGAAGAAAGGAGGCTTATTGACGGGCATCGAGTCGAGACCGGAGTCGAAGTTTGAAGCGGAGGCCATTGATGACTTTGATTATCGATATAACTCTTCCCGAATCGACTCAAGAGGCGATTAAACCTTCAAATGAGTTAGGCTCTAATACCAATTGTTGAGTTAATTGATTGACTGAATCGGCCAAGAGGGGGTGAATTGGCAATAAAAATTTTTGTGGAAGCTTTTGCAGAAAATTGAAAGAAATTGCACAGCGATTTATAGTGGTTCGACTTTATCAACCAAAGTCTACGTCCACTACCTTAGCTATCCACACTAAGGATTTTCCAACAAATTCACTAATTTGTTCTTTCTTTTGAGGCCAAAGAGATAACCTTACAACTTCCTCAAGAATATACCCCAATTCTTGAGAACACTCTTTTCTCAAAGAGAAATACAAATTTGCAAACTTACAAGAAAAACCTCACAATGCAAATATGTTTGCACAATTCTAGAAAAAAGAAAGAACACTCAAGAATAAATACAATTGAGCACAATAAGTGTTCTTGAAAGCAAAATGAATATTGAATGAAAAATAGGCTTGAAATGCTCAAACTTGAGGTTTGATGCTTTCTCTTTGATTCTCTCTTGATTCTAATTGCTTGATGTTTCTTGTTATTAATCAATGACTTCTAAGCTTGCTTAAATACACCTTGAATCACTTCTGAACGTTGGGGATAATTAGAGAAAATAATATAGCCGTTTTAGTGTGAAAACAATTAATAAAACAGTTTGGAGCGTGGGGGGAATCGGTACCCCCTATGGGGAATCGGTTCCCTAAGTGTAAAATTCAAATATTTCGACCGTTATACAAGGGAGGAATTGGTACCCCCTGGGGGGGAATCGGTTCCCTCCGAGCATACTGGAATTCTCGGAGCCAAACCATTAAGGGGGAATCGGAACACCCTTGGGGGGGAATCAGTTCCCTCTGAGCAATCTGGATTTTTTGGCTTTGAAATGGTTCGAAATATTTTGTAAAATTATTTTGAAATTGTTTTAAGTTTAAAACTTAATTTTACACTTTGAGTAAGGATTAAAAATGATCTTTGAAAGATTTGGAGTAATGTTTTGATATTCGAATAATTATATCGAATATACTTAGAAAATCATTTGGAAAATCTTAAAATTCATTTAACTTAATTTGTTATATCGAAATATCAAAATGTTTTCAACAGATAGCCTTTAAGATCGATAGTTGCATAGAATAGATAGGTGTCCTCTTTTGAACATTCCCTTGTGATAGTAATTTACCTTACTGGCTAAATAATAGACGCAATGTCCTTGAACTGTTTTGCCGTTTGTGTAAACGATCACATACTTCACACAGCTACCTCTCTGACAAGAATTTAGTTCTAATGGGTATGTCCTTAAAGCCATGGACATCTGCCTGGTTCTGCAAGAGTTTTAGAAAACTATGCCAAATAGTCTCCTTGATTAGACCCCACTTCACTCTCACATAGTTGACTTATGTTGCTCGGCTCACCGCAGCACACAATGGTCATTAAAAGTTTTTGCTTTACCTATACCACTTTGATCACTGTTTACATCATTGGAACAAACTTAAGATAAAAAAACCCCCACAGTGATCGTACATAGGTTATCTAATTAGGTTGTCCCTTTGAACCTAGACCTTGAGATATCCAGTCAACAAGGTAGGGTTTTCCTTCACATAATTCCTTTAAATTTTATGGGCTTTAGTCCCATTACTTTAGATGTTTTCTCAACTTGATCTCGATTTAACCCTTCGGTTAGCGGATCCACAATGTTATCCTTTGATCTTACAAAATCAATAGAGATAACTCAATTTGAGATCAATTGTAAATGATATTATGTCGACGACGCATATGTCTCGACTTACCATTATACTTGCTAGTCATAGTATAAGTATGTTATGGGAACATGTTTCAGCCATTCAAGAATTTACTCTAAGAGATTCCAAAGTTGTTCATCTTATTCTTCAGACTTATCTAGAGCTTCAAAAGCAGATTTCACTATGAATCTGGTTATAACCGTTTTCTTAAGGATTTTCATAACACGATTTTTCCTTCCAATGTAAAATATATTCACTTGTGCCATTGATATCTTGAATATCAAATTCCCACTAGCATTACTTTATCCTTCTAAGATAATAGGATATCAAAGAAAATACAATCCATTGTTTAAGATTTATTTTCATTAGTTTTTTTAATATAACAATTACCTTCTCAAGACATCCCTACATTTTCAAGTGTTTGTATGACACAAGTTTTTAACCTTTTCATAACTCATATGATGTCTTGTCCTTTAAAAGGTAATTAGTTGATAGAACAACTTCTCTCTCCCCAACATGTTTTCTGACAACTCAAAACTTCTTAGCATTGCATTTATTGTTCAAATCTTCCGCTTTGCCAACTCCATTTTTTTGGGATAGTATAATGATGTTACTTCATGAATAATATCATGTATTGCACAATGGTTTAACATATTTACCATTCCTATCACTTCATACCATCTTAATATATTTATTAAGTTATTTTTCAATTTCATATTTATAGAAAACAAAGATCTCTATAATTTTGGTTTCATTTTTTTAGCAAATACACATAGCAATACTTTTGATATCATCAATGGACATAATAAAGTATTTATTCTCCCTAGTTCGTGCCATTATTATGAATTTTAAGTACTTGGTCACTAATAATTCATTAGTACCAGCATCTTCTGTTCGTATCTATGGTTTAATTATACACCTTATATTAGGTATCCAATAATGCATTCAAGATGTATTTCCAACATAGGGAGTCATAATACTTCCAATATCCGGTAACAACGTTTACCTCATCCTCTCTAATAATAGAAAGTCCATCTCACATTTGGTCAATTTCATCATGACCAAATAAAATAACATCTTATGTTAATACATCTTGGAATTCTATTCATGGAATTTTACAAGTTCATATCTCACATTAAAATTAAATTAAAAATATTCCTCAAAGAATTTGAAATACATAAATTCAAAATTGAAGGAAACTTATCTTTGGTCTCCTTGATCTTCACCCAATATTTGTCTTGCCAAATTTTTGGCACTTCCTTCGTACACAACAAGGATTAAACTCATCAATTCTATATCATCTCGAAAAAAATAAGGAAATCAAATTTGTCTTAAGATTGTTAGAAAGAGATCGCGCATTAGTCCGAGAATGATACAGAAAAATAATAAAGAATAAATATCATTATAAATTAAAGAGAATGAACGAGTTTACTTCTTAAGTTTGTTGATCGAATTAACAATCTGAGACAAAATTAATCCTGAGAAAATAAACTAAAAAAGTTTAAACTTCTTAGAAGATAAGATAAAAATAAATGGAAATAGAATACTCCTTTCATTTTGATCTATCGATTGGAATCAGTTGAGGTCTGTCACTACACAGTTTCCTTAAGATAGATTTTCAGCCACTCCTTGGTGATCGAGATCTTTTGATCGTCTGTCTCCCAGGATACAACAACTTATGATAATCTATATTAGCACATCTACATAGATCACGAATGATCCTTACATTCGACTATCACCGGAAAAAATAATGAAGAAAAAAGAATATTTTCTAAGGAGACAGTATTTTTCAAGAGAAGAAAAATTCTTCAATTCTGAGATGTGAAAAACCTAACATGTTTACTCACTATTTATAAGAAATTTTCAAGAGATGTTTAATCCAACCAAATATCTTTTAATATCCAACTTTAAACAAATAATAATATCTTTTAATTTGAAATATTCAAAAGATAAAACTTCTTTTACCATTCAAACTTACATATATATTATTTTAATTTGAAATATACAAAAGTATATAATTATCTTTAATATTCAAAGTTAAAAAAGATAACAAATACCTTTCTAAATTGACATATTTAAAGAGTAATTATTCTAATATTCAAATTAAATAATATCTTTTAATTTGTAATATTTAAAAAGGACTATGAATTTAATATAAATATTAAATCCATCAATTAAATTCATTCTTTTTCCAACACCATGTGATATTCTTATGGACTTTTGATTACTTGTCTAGGAGTTTGTTCATCTAATATAAGACAAAAAGTTAGATTATATTTTTCTTTAGGTAATAAGGTAAAGAAAATCATGTAAATAAGTTGCAAGAGAAAATAGAAGAATGTGCATTATTTATATGCATATGATATTTAACTTGTGACACTAAAATAATATTCTGTGGAAGTATCTCCTGGCAAGTTCTAACGATCATGCAATGTTTACTTTGTTTGACCTTGCAACAACTTGCTAGACTTTGCTGCTAGGATACTTGGACCGTGTCAAGAGAAGATGATTCATCGAAGATCATTTCCTGGAATATCCAAGTTTCGAGTTGGTTGTCAATTCCCAACAGATACTCAACTCGAGATACAGTCGGGTTTTACTCACCATGGTAAGAACATCCCCATACACCAAGGAACTCACATTGGCGGATCAGATAAAGCATTTGGAGTTCAACGAGAACCATGCCAAGTGGTTAGAACTTAGAAGAGGGTAACAATCTTCACTCTTCTGTTCAGTCCAGCAGAGGTTGTTGAATCAGGTGATCCGAAAGTGAGTAAAGAATCAAAGCCAAGATACATAGAGGAATATGTGTAGTATTCGCTGCTGTTTTGACTTAAATAATGTGGGCATCCATGTTTTTATTCTGATGACATTAATGAAAAGATTGCTTGCCCCCCTTATTAGAAATTAGGGTTTACAAAATACAAATCCTCATTGAAATTAATTTTTTTTATTTCAGTAAAATGGTCGGTTAATCCTGGTCTGACATAAACAAATGGTGCCATACAAGCCAAGTAACATGCCATACCATCCTTCTGTGACTGGTATAACCGCCGGTTAACGGCGGAGTGATTGATTTGTTATAAAACGATAATATTAGTACTATTTTATATCTTTTGAAACTTAAATGGAGAAAAAATTACTTAAATTTTTAGTGACCATTTGTGTAGTTTACGCTTATTTTTATGGTACATCCGATTTAAAGCGTTTGTCGATCATTCGCTCACCTCGACGCCGTTTCGCAGCTAGCGACTAGAACCATCGGGCATTCGCCACATTATTGGTTGCTGAACGGCCAACGAAGGTATGCTCCAATTTCGCAAAGTTGGTGTTTTTTTTTTTGTTGGATTAACTCTCGTTGTTAGCTATTACTCTTCGCACTCGATTCTTCCATCTCGTGCTGAGAGGTCCAATTCAATGCTTTCTCGGAAATAAATTCATCTTCTTGTGATTTACCCATTAATTTATAGGAGGAAGATTTCACTCGGTGCCCACTTCCCAGTGTTCGGGTTTTTCAAAGAAGTTAAACATTTTTTCCCTTCGATGTTTAATTTTGTCATTAGATCTTGAAGTATTTTTTTAATGTAATCTAGTTTCATCGGGGCTTTTAAAATTTGGATAATTTTATGATAAAGGGATCAATTTTGTTTTTTTTTTCAAGGAAAGGAAGAGAATCAGTTGCGATTCTCTCCATGGATCTGCAGGACTTCTTGCTTCGCGCTCGAGTGCTCAAGCTTTACAGACAAGCTCTACGGACTGCTGGAAGAGCTCCTCGTGATTCTAGAGGTGAACCTTATCTAATTAATACGCCTGCTTAATGCTGCTTAGAAATGTTTTTTTAGAAAATTGAGAAAACCTATTCTTCCATCTTAAATCTTAATGCATATTCATTGTTTTTCTAGTTTTGTTTCTATTGCCGTCTTGTTATCGGTTAGTTCCCTGTTGATTAGTTTCATCTGATTTTGAATTGGATTATATGTTTTAAACATTAAGTTGCACATTGAATTGCCTGAAAAGAAATGTGTTTTTGCAGCTGAATTGAAGCAGTTGATTAGGCAAGAGATGGAGAGTAATCGAGATTGCAAGGATAAACAAAAGATCCGCTTCTTGCTTAGTGAAGGAACCGAGATGTTGAAAGGTCTGAGTGAGATGCTTGGCATGCAGGGACATTGCTAGTGGAATCAGTGAAGCTGCCTGCCTGCCTGCAGCATTTGGTGTATCTTCACTAACACAATGTTGAGCTGTAAACCAGCAGCTCAAGTTATCAAACAAGTCAAATTCTATCTTAATGCCTCTTCAGTAGTTCGTGAACCTAATTTAGTTTTTTTAGTTGGTATTGAAAAAAAAAACAAACTTGGTTCAAACTAAAATACAAGTATTTGTGTTTTGAAGCAGAGCTTGAGAGTCCAGTTCAATATTTATTAGGTAAACAAGCCGAATTGAGTGAGCTTGAGTAGCTCGGTTTAACATATAGAATTAATATAAATTTGATTTAGATCGTGCCGGAAGTTTTCGGTCATGTTGGAGCTTCTTATTGATTGAAGTGATAGGTAAACTTACTCTTGCAAGATTGCCAAGAAAGGGTAGAGCCCTGGCCCTCAAAATGCTGGTTGCAACCCATGAAATCGAGTAGAATCAGTTTGGGCAACTTCACTTGCACAAAACGAAGAGAACATCTGATAAGTTGCAGACCAGCATTGCGAATTTTTACAAAGTACTGTACAAAATTGCTCAAATATAACAAAGGCTTAGAACATTCAATCAGGCACTGAACTCCAAAGAGACGGAGAGCTGTAGATTTTTGTTAGGAATGGTGCTTAAATGGGCATGAATAAGAATCAGTAGCTAGCTGTATTGCTATTGAGATATTGTTTGATTGTTGTACATCACTATATTGAATTATTAACAAGAAATGATGTTGTATTCTAATTAAGACTGCAAAATTCCCTTGAATTAAATTTCAAAACAAAGGTAAAATTGACAAGACTAAGATGGAAACGGAATGAATGCACATTGTATACAATCTGAAAATAAAAATTGTATAAAGGTTTTTACGGAGCTCTCAATGCAACTACCAAGTCCTGTAAGCCATGAAATCAAGTCCAAAGAATAGACAAGGTACTCCTCTTATTGCACTTCAGCAGACGGAGTTACCTGCAAATTAAGCACTAATCCTCAAGTTTTGAACAGAATTTGAAGGTTAAGCAGATGATGAACAAAAAGGTAATAAGGACAGCATAATAAAAGATGAACCTCTACTGTTTGCTGTGATAGGAGATAACATTTGTGCCCCTTTGGTTTGATCCCTTAAAAGCTCAGGGATTAACTGACCTCATAAGAACGAGGGCAAACTGGCCGGTTATATATCAACTCCTCCAATGGATCAAAATCATGAAGGTAAAAACTCCACCAGGGTTGGACCAAGGGCCGGATCAGCCATCCGTGAAAATTTCATTATTATCATATAAAATTTTAGAAATTAACTCCCAACATATTGTGTATGTACTGCTCCCCACTCCACACAGGGATCAACCATTGCAACATAAACTTCAAGAGCAACCTCACCATATGCATCCTAAACTCAATTACATTCTTCAAATGAGGAGGCAACGTTTAACAATTTTTTTTAGCAGAAATGGACTAAAATATCGTGTCTTTCCCATGTATATACTAGGGACGTGAAATCAGGTAATCGTTCAGGTTTCAGTCGGATCCTATCAGGTCAGGTCAAATTGGATACAGATCGTGTCAGGTCAATTTGATAGTTCGACTCGGATCAGGTTGGGTCCAAGTCAAATCAGTTTGGGTCATTTTCAGGTTGATTTGACATCAGATTCAGTTCGGATCGATATCAGTTCAGGTCAAAATAGTTCAGGTCCAAAGCAGTTAAATACAAAGTTAATTCAGGTTCGAATGCATTTCAGTCAGATCTCGTTCAGATCGGGTCACATCATTGACAGAAAAATTTAGGCCGGATCTTATTGGGAACGAATTGAGTTCAGGTTGGGTTATTTTTGGGTTAATTATTTTTTTTATTTCATGAACTATAAACTGTAATTTGTAATTGTATATGATTTGGAGTAGATTAAAAAATATAAATGATTATGGGTCAATTTTAATAAAAATATAATTTTAAGGACTAAATTGAATAAACATGAAATTACAAAGTACTAACTTAAATAAATTAAACAACATGCAAGGATGAAGGATTAAATCAAAATAATTATAAAATGTTAAGTTGAAATTAATATAAAAATGTACAAAATTGAATCCAGTTAAAAAGATGGTGAAAAGAGTTTAGAGGGTTTGGAGATTATGATATACTTTACAGAGTGTGAAATGAAGTTTATTATTTGATTTGTTGGTTTTGAATTAAATTATAAAATTATAAATAAGTATGGGCCAATTTCATATACAAATATAATTTTAAGGAGTAAATTGAATAAATATAAAATTACAAGTTCAGATTTAAATAAATTAAACAATATATAGGGACACACATATATGATGAATGTTATGATAATTGTATATAGAATGTACATTACACTTATGTATCTGTTATACTTATAATATATATATTTTAAATAAATACAAGACTGTTTTATTAATATAACTTCATTTGTATTACAAATTACATAACCCAATATCTATACACCCATTTGTAAGCCTAATATACAATTAAGTATATATATATAAAAGTCCATATTAATAATATAAGCCCATTTGAATTACAAAATACGTAACCCAATACTTATAAACTCATTTATAAGCCTAATATACAATTAAGTATATATATATATATATATATATAAGTATATATACAATATATATATAAGTACATATATATATATATATATATAAGTATATACATAAGTATATATGTATGATGTATGTACATAATTATATATAAAAGTGCATATAAGTATATATATATATATAAGTATAAAGTATATAATATATAAGCAATGTATATATCAAAATAAATACAAGTCCAATTTATTAATATAAGACCATTTGTATTACAAAATACATAACCCAATACTTATAAACCTATTTGTAAGCCCATTATACAATTAAGTATATATCTATATATATAGAAGCCCATTTTATTAATATAAACCCATTTGTACTACAAAATACATAGCCCTATATGCTTATATATGTGTGTGTAATTATATATATATAGTTATAGTTATAGTTATAGTTATAGTTATCATTGATCAATGATATATGTACATATATATGTACATTATAAGGCCATTTGTATTACAAAATACATAACCCAATCTATTTATGTATAATATATATATATATAAAAGTACATATATACATATAAAGTATATAAAGCATAAGTATATAAACTATATAATATATATAATATATAAGAATATGTATATATTGAAATAAATACAAGTTCATTTTAATAATATAAGCTCATTTGTATTACAAAATACATAGCCCAATACTTATAAACAATATACAATTAAGTATATATATATATATATACATATATATAAAGAATAAGTATAATTATATAAACTATATAGTATAAATATATAAACTATAAACTATAAAATATATAAACTATATAGTATATATATATATATATATATCATTAAACATAAGTAACTAAAATAAAAGATTCTAAAATTAACATTCACATTTAATGACTAGAATTAGAATGTATACATGTCTAAATTTGCATTGAATTGAAAATTCAATAATAGATTTGCAATTAAACCATGACTGAAGTGAAAGAAATCAGAAACCAACTAACAAAATAGAAAATTATTGATTGTTGGAGGAGCACATGCCTAATTAAACCAAAACATTTTATTGGACACTAAAGCCAATCCCACCAATTACCACTTCTAAATTCCCAAAAAACATTTTTCCCTAAAAAAAAAATCAAATCTTTCTTTTAATAGATTTTCCTCTAAAAAATCAAATTTCCTCTAAAAAAAATCAAATTTCCCTAAAAAAACAATATTTCTTTTAAAATTTTAAATTTTTAATCTCAAATAAATCCATCTTTTATATATATTTTAAAATTTTAAGATAAATTATATTTAAATTATTAATTAATTATTACATAAAAATAAATTAAATTTATAAATATTTAAGTTAATTTTTATATAATTTAATAAAATCATGTTTAATAACTAAATTATTTAATTATTTAATGAAATTAAATAATTTTATTAAGATTTATAATATAAAGATTATAATTAATATAGAAAGTAAATTTATTAATTTAATTATCATAACTTTGTTTTATCTTTTAAAATGTAATCATATTATTTATCATAGTTTATTATAAATTCAAAATCTCACAACTTCATCAATTGTAACTTCTCAGTCAGGTAAATATCATATCAATTCAATAACAAGTCGGATCATTTACAGTCTGGGTCAATTACAGGTCAGGTTGATAACAGGTAGGGTAATACCAATTATTTACCAGGTTAATCTCGGGTTCAGGTTCATTTCAATCAGATGCAGGTCGAGTTCGGTTATCATATTATCGGTTAAATTTAGGTTCAAGTCATTCTCAGATTGGGTGCAGGTTGGGTACAAATTCACAATTTCCATGTCCAACTCAAGTTAAGGAAAACACCAGTTCGGACTCGAGTCAATTTCAGATCACCACTGCTCAGGTCACAAACAGTTTTGACTCGAGTTGGTTTTAGTTAGTTTTACAGGTCTGGTTAGCTTTTTACTTCCCTAGTATATACAACAGGAAATGAAAGAGAAACAAACAAGAATGAAGAAACCTATCAAAGCTAAATAAAAGAGAAGGTCAGAAACAAAGGATTTGGAAGGTGTTAGTGTTGCATGATTTAAGTGCTTCACAATTGGTGCAAGTGTACACGTCGCAAGTTATAGTATAGAAAAGATATCGTCTCCACAGGAATTGGTGAAACTTTGTATTCCAACATCTTGCTCTGTAAAAAGAAATAAATTTGAAATAGTATGAGTGTGAATAAACAAATAAAATAAATGAGCAACTAAATAAAACTAGAGTGATATCAAGTGAGAGAGCAGGTCGGGTTATCGAGAAGTGCGGAGAGACAATTGTTTGGATAGTCTATGTAATTGATTACCAAGGCAACTCGATTACCTTGACAACTGAAAATGATTCAATTGCCGTAGCAACTGGGTTTCCACCTTCAAAGCTCGACAGAGAGTTCTTCAATGCCTTCTTGTTATCCCTAACCCGAAGGACTGGTCAATTTTGCATGCCTTGGTGATACATCCTTGCGTTAACCATGGGTGAGCAACAACCAATCTTGCACTCCTTTTAGTTGTTGAAATCCGAATCTTATCCCTAAGATAGATTAACCTTCACCAACATTTGTTCAAATGAAGATCATGCTCATTCGTTTCTTGAATCTAACTATCCCGATACTAGCTAAATGGATAATTCTTGAGATCATCTCTCAATTCAGTCAAAATCGATTAAAGAATCAAGAATAAACAAACTTTGAATTCAAACCACAATCAAGAACTTAAACAAATACAAGAGTTTTCACAAACACAAAAACCTAATAACCCAAGCCAATTAAATTTAGTTCATGGTTGGGTGAAAAAGAAATACAAGATAAAGATTCCCTAAAAACATAAATCGAAAAGAAAAAAATAAAGAAGAAGATTGCGCTCAATTTTTCTCTCTCTAGCTGCGCCATTTTCTTGTGCGTTTGGTTCTTGATTTATAGAAGAATATTAAGTCAAATTGGTTGTTGATGAGGATGAGTTTTAGTTGGACTAAAAAAGAGAATAAATCTCTTTTACCTTTATTCTAAAACTCCTTGCAAGTTTGACTTCCTTATCTCCTTAAAACTCTGCGTGGAATTCCAAATTTTTAGGACTCTCATTTTATTTGACGTGATTATCTTGATGAGGTGAATTTATCCAATCAGCATTATCATGCACAAATTAACACACACCAGTAATATCTTTTCCACAAAAACCAACTAAAATGTAATATCAAACTTAACTGTGAAGGAAACTATAAAATCATGTACGAATAACTAATAATGCAACTAGGCCGAACCTAAATCTAGCAATAATTATGGGTAAAAGGGTAGAAAATATAGTACTTTTATACGTTTAACACACCCCAAACTCAAACTATTGCTTGTCCTCAAGCAATGCATGACATCCACTTTCTTATAGCAATTAGATAAGATCATTCTTACCCTTTCTTTGCACCTGTTTCTTCAAAACATTAGCAATTTTCTGCCAATCATCTTCAGACCTCAAAACAACCAGAAATTAACTAAATTCAACTTGTGATGCTCGTGTAAGTGTGTGCTATTAGTCGAGAAGGTTCACCACCATGGGTATTTTTAGAGAATTACAGAATTATCAAATTAATTAATAAGACAAAAGATGTCATATCAATTAATTAGCTTAACTAGAGATTCAACTTATCACAACTACCTACAAGTACTTGAGTAGTAAGATGCAGTCAACAACGAACCCCCTAGCCTTTTAGGTAGAGTCATCCCGTGAAGACTTTCATTCACTCATGTTATTCATGACTATCTTTCCTACTTAGTATTCACTAAGCATACCGAATTTTCTTTAGCAACGGAGTGTTCTAGAGGAAAATATTTGATGTGGTAATTTATTCGACTAGAGCGAGTTAAACACCTCTAGAAATTTCACTTAAACAAAAACATGCATGATAATTAAGTATTTGCTAAAATACCCACATTCAACGAAACACGACATTCGGTAAAACATTATAGCATCACAAGAACCATTAAGACAATCTCAAATTATCTCTAATTCCTAATATTCTTGACTTTAAAAAGCTATCAGCAATTATCTCATCATAGGTAAGTACAAAAGGCTCAACAATTGTTCATCTGTCTAAATGCCATGAAAATTAAATATCATGGAAAGCTTGATTGAACATTACAAACAATGCAAAATGACAAAACATGGCACAACAAATGCCATATGACAAAACGAACAATCAACCCCCTCCAAACTCAAGAGGAACATTGTCCTCAATTCATGCAAAATGAATGAGTTAGTCAGAAAGGTCGTCACCTTGACTTATGAGTGTCCTTCAAGCCATTTGTTTGATTTTCTTGTTGGCTCACTGTGGTTGGGAGCGTGTTGCTGGTGGTGCGCTCGAAATCCTCTGTTCTTAACCTTATCTCTCGAGTGAATCATGTTTTTATATTTTGTGGTAATGGGTTCTTGTATCCTAAAATTCAAGCAAATAAAAAAGACAAAAATAAAATAAATAAAAACACTAAATAAATCATATTGAGACTAAAATAAAGAAATAAAAAAATATAGGAAAAAAAATTCAACAAAGGAAAACATTTTCATGATTATTCGAGAGTAACCACTTCCTTATCGCGCTTAACATGGGCGATGTGTAGAGCTTTAATCGTTTTTCATTGACTTTAAACTCATGTTCGTCGATGGTGGACTTGATTTTTACGACACCATGAGATAAAGGTGTTACTACCTCGAACGACTCATACTATCTCAATTTTAGTTTTCTCGAAAAATATTTTAATCTAGAATTGAACGAAAGTACTAATTGCCCTGGAAATGATTTCAATTATAACATTGAAGGTTGCTCAATAAAATATTTTTCGAGTTTACCTTCCTTATCTGAGTAGTCTAATGGTTTGAAATATTTACTCGGTTGACTTACTATCCAGTTTTCTTCATCTTGCTCTCTATCATCCGATTCTTTAATTTTCTTCTATTTGGCAATAGAATTGCCGTGGCAATTATCCTTTACTTCAAAGTTGAATTCGGTGGTAACATGAATGACTAGGCATTATTCTAGATCATTCACTCTCATAGTGAGTTCTCCCCTTTCGACATCAATTAAGGTTCTTCCTATTGCCAGGAATGGTCTTCATATTTGCTTCACAATCCATAACAATAAAGTCAGCGGGGAAAATAAATTTATCAACTTTTACCAGTATATCTTCAAATTTCCCTCTGGTTGCACATAGGATTTGTCTGCAAGCTGTAGTATTATTGTCATAAGTTTCACCTTCCTGATACCTAATCTTCGAAACAAAAATCTAGGAATAAGGTTGATGCTTGCTCCAAGATCGCATAATGCCTTTTTGACGTAGCGATTTCTGATTGCACATGGTATTGTGAAGCTACCAAGATCTTTTAGTTTGGGTGACATTCGGTTGTGCAACATAGCCATTCATCCCTCCGTCACAACAACTGTTTCAAACTCTCGTATTCTCTTCCTCTTAGAGAAAATGTCCTTAAAGAACTTAGCTTAGTTTGACATTTTCTCGATCGCCTCAACCAATAGTAAGTTGATGTGAATTTGCTTTAAAATCTCCAAGAATTTCTTGAACTAACATTCTTATTTCTGTTTGGAATTTGATTGATGGACTTGATGCTTTATCTGGATTTGTCGAGGCATGTGGACTTGCTCGGGCATCCTTTGATTTATCAATATCGACTAGAGCAATGTTGTTGGATGTATCTTCTTGGACAACGGTATACTTTACTGGTTGAGTTCTCCCCGTGGGCTGTGTAAGGATTTCAGTTAGCTTTCGTCCACTTCGGGTGGTGATTACCTTACACTGCTCGTGGCCTACTCCCTTTACGACCTCAGTATCGCCGGGTAAACCACCTAGTGGTATTGTGTTCAAATTCTGGGCAAGTTTTCTGACCTGTGTCTCCAAGGATTTCAAAGCTGCCTCTTGGTTCTACAGTCTCATTTTAGTCCTGTTAATGAAAGCGTCAGTCCTTTTTATGAAAACACTTTTCTCAACCATGTAAGATTTAGTTTTTAACATAAAATATTTAAGAGTATTTTTCAAAGAACCAGATGGTGTTGATTGTTGTTGCGGCATGTGTTGCCTTGGCATGTTTTGTTGGATTCTCGATGCTTGTGAATTCTGATTGTTTTGATTGAGGGTATTGTTAGAGTTGCTCCATGAAAATTAGGGTGCTCCCTCCAGGATGGTGTGTATGTGTTGGACATCACATTGTTGTTCCGGTTGTAGTTTCCAACATAGAAGCTAGATTCTGGGTTTTATGGATACTAAAAAACCATGGTTACTGTTACATAACTCACAAAATGAATTTACTACCTTGATCTCTTGTGGATTGCTAGGTCGCTGCATGTTCTTAACCAAGTTGGTTAAGGTAGCCAACTGTGCAAAAAAAGTGTCCATTGAATCAAACTTATTTTTCGTGGCGTTATGTCAGACTCCCCCTCTTCTAATAGTTGAGAACTAATAATAATTCTCGGTAAGATGGTTCAAAATCTCCATTGCTTTATCCGGTGACTTGTCGAGGAGTATGTCATTTGCCGAAGCATCTAGCATCATCCTTGTTAGTGTATTCACTGAGTTGTAGAACATCGTCACTTGTTTCCATACTGGAATTCATGCATAGTATATTTGCGTAAAAGCTCCCTATATCGCTCTTAAGCCTCGTACACAGATTCATCATCCGCCTGTCGAAAAGAAGTAATATCGTTACGCAAATTATCAATCATATTTTTAGAAATAAATCTAGCGAGGAAATCACGACATAAATCCGCCCAAGATTCTAGAGATCCAAATGGGATACTATTCCACCACGATTTTACCCTATCCCTTAGTGAATAGGGGAATAATTTCAGCCTTAGGACATCCTCATGGACTCCTTGTTGCTTAAATGAATTGCAAATTTACAAGAATGATTTGAGATGTTGTCTGGAATCTTCTGTTGTCAATTCGCCAAATTAACCAATTATGTTGATCATGTAGAACATTACAGGTTTTAATTCGAGGTAGGCAACTTCTATTTCAGGTTTGACAACTCCTGGATTGAGACCATTGAGATCTTCCTTTAAATAGTCTCGAATGAGTTTGTTCCTTACTAGAACACCTCCTCATCTTGCTTCGGTTATCTGATTGCCAATAGTATTAGGGTCGCCATTTGGATTAATGAATTGGTCTCCCATTGCTGCTCGTTTCTCGTGTATTCTTCTATGGAAAAATCACTCAATTTCGAATTCAAATGGATATTCCGGTGATGTTGGTCTTGACCTGGTCATACACAGATGTAAAACCACAATTTGTAAGATCCTTGAATCCAAGAAGAAAGATAAACAAAAAGGAAAATAATAATAATACTAATAATTAAGGTGCAAGAAATAAAAAATCAAAGTCGCTATTGCCAATCCCAGGAAACGACGCCAAAAACTTGTTGCGTGATTTAAGTGCTTCGCAATTGGTGCAAGGGTACACGTTGCAAGTTATAGTATAAAAAAGATATCATCTCCATAGGGATTGGTGAAACTCTATATTCTATCTTTTTGCATTGTAAAAAGAAATAAATTAGTAATAGTAGGAGTGTGAATAAATTAATAAAAATAAATGAGCAAGTAAATAAAAGTAGAGTGATATCAAGTGAGAGAGCAGTGCGGTGTGACAACTGTTTGGATAGTCTGGGTAATTGATTGCCAAGGCAACTCGACTTCCTTGATAATTGAAAATGATTCAATTGTCGTAGTAACTGGGTTTCCTCATTCAAAAATCGACAGAGCATTCTTCAATGCCTTCTTGTTATCCCTAACTCGAAGGACTGGTCAATTATGCATGGCTTGGTGATACATCCATGTGTTAACCATGGGTGAACAACAATCGATCTTACGCTCCTTTTAGTCGTTGAAATCCGAATCTTATCCCTAGGATGGATTAACCTTCACCAACATTCGTTCAAATGAATATCATGCTCATTCGTTTCTTGAATCGAACTCTCTCAATATTAGATAAATGGATAATTCTCGAGGTCCTCTCCCAATTCACTCGAAATCAGTTAAAGAACCAAGAATGAACATACTTTGAATTCAAATCACAATCAATAACTTATACAAATCCAAGAGTTTTCACAACCACAAAAACCCAATAACTCAAGCAAATTAAATTTAGTTCATGACAGGGTGCAAAAGAAATACAAGATAATTATTCCCCAATAACATGAATCGAAAAGAAAAAGAAATAAAGAAGAATATTGTGCTCGACTTTTCTCTCTCTAGCCGCACCCTTTTCTTGTGCGTTTGATTTTTGATTTATAGGAGAATATTAGGTCAAATTGGTTGTTGACGAGGATGAGTTTTAGTTGGAATAAAAGAGAGATAAAAAATATAGTTCCTGGGCAATATCAAACTTAACTGTGAAGTAAAGTATGAAATCATTCATGAATAACTAATAATGCAATTAAACCGAACCTAAATCGAGCAATAATTATAGGTAAAAGGATAGAAAATATAGTAATTTTATATGCTTAACGGTTAGCTAGATAAAAAAGAGAGTTGGATGAAATTAAATAGTTCCTGGGCAGGGCAGGAGCAAATGAAACGGAGGTCATTGTTGAAAGCGTACAATATGTTGTAGCCTTGAAACTTCCATTTTAAAAACAGGTGATGCGCGTCTTTCGATGAAGAGGACGAAGATTAATCATCAATAACTACTGTGAAGCAAGAGAAAAAAATAAGTTATATATAAGCAAGGATTATTTTTCTCATTCCCTTAACCTCCTACCTATATATAAAGGCGCCTTCTTGCATGGACTTTGTAAATTCTGTTGGTCTTCAAATAGTTCTCTTTCCCTTTTTATTTCCATAGAAAATTTGTCACGATTTTTACCCAAACAAATACCAATATTGGTTTCTTGGATTATTGAGATTTTAGGATTATTTTTCCCCAATTTTCAGAGTGAAGAATGGCGAAAGTGAGACAATCTCGATCCTTAGCAAAGAAAAGGTTGACAGTAACGATTGTATTATCGATCTTGGTGATGTTAACGGTGGTTTTGTTGATGCTTCTAGGATTAGGGATTTTCTCCCTCCCGATGAGCGCCGACGGTTCATCGTCCTATGATCTCACTACTTATAGACGCATCACTTCTAAAAGGTTTTAACAATAATTTCCAACGCATTCATATCACTTTCGATTAGGTGCAATGTGTTTTGTATTTGTTTTCATTGATTCGGATTTAATGTAGAGGAAAAGGCTCTAGATCCAGAGGGGAGCACTGGGCTGAAGTCATTTCATGGGAGCCTAGAGCTTTCCTTTACCATAATTTCTTGGTTGGTTTCTACCCTATTCTTTTCCTTTTATTATTTTTTTACTAGGGATTTAAATTGCTATTATGGTTGTATTTTTTGTTGTGTTGGGTTTATCTTATTGCGGACATAGCAGATACTATCATAGTCATTGCGAGTATTATGATTGTACAATAATAGTTTCGGATAGTACTATTACCGTTATCCCATTATTCTGATATCGACCACTATTGAAATCCCTATTTCTTACCTCTGAGATGATGTAATGCTAGCCAGTCGACAGAGATCGTTGCCATAATCTTTAAGATACAATATTGAAAAATTGCAAAATTGACCCTACCCATGTTAGTTCCATTAACGATGTTATGAGATGTGATTCATTTTTCTGTTTTGACCACTTATTTGATATTTGAACAGTCCAAAGAAGAATGCGAATACCTCATAAAAATTGCTAAACCTCACATGAGGAAGTCCAGTGTAGTTGATAGCAAAACAGGGAAGAGTAAAGATAGCAGGTTCACATTTCCTATCCTCCCATCTCTTGTTTCCTTGTGATTATAAATGCTAAATTTTATACGTTTGAACAGTTAGAGTTGTGTTTTTTCGAAGGGTTCGTACGAGTTCGGGTACGTTTCTGAGAAGAGGGCAAGATAAAATCATAAGCGACATAGAGAAAAGGATAGCAGAGTACAGTTTTATGCCTGTAGGTATGTGATATTAAATGGATTTTCCTCGTTTTCTGGCTTTGGAAAAAATAATCTTTTCATATAAGGTATTAGGGTGATTATTTTGTGGTCTACGGTGAATGCTACAATGTTTCATGGAAGACGTCTAGAGGACTTGACGACTTTTGGAAGAGTATTTTTACGGGCATGCATGAAATTTGAAGAAGACGTGTCTTTTAAGCGTCTTCCATGGAACACTGTAACATTTGCCCTAGATGAAAAAATAATTATCCTAACATCTTACATGAGAAAAGCATTTTTTTCAAAGCATTATCGACCAAATTTGCCGCGTTTTCTTTTCTTTTTATGACTTAAGAGGTTAGTTGGTAATGTGAAGAGCATGGAGAAGGTCTTCAAGTTCTCCACTATGAAGTTGGGCAGAAATATGATCCACACTTCGATTACTTCCTTGATACGTTCAACATTAGAAAGGGAGGTCAGCGGATGGCTACTATGCTTATGTATTTGTAAGTTCTATAATTTTAGCTCTACATGACTATGATGCATCCGAAAAGAGATAGATTCATTACCGCTTACATTACTCGCCGATGCTAATGCAGGACGGATGTAGAAGAAGGGGGTGAGACGATATTTCCGGCTGCCAAGGGAAATGTTAGCGACGTCCCGTGGTGGGACGAATTGTCGGAATGTGGGAAAAAGGGTCTTGCAGTGAAGCCCAAGATGGGCAATGCATTGCTGTTTTGGAGTATGAAACCTGATGCCACAGTAGATCCTTCAAGTTTGCATGGTTTGCAGTCTATCCCCTTACCTACCTTTCTAGGGTTCTCTCTTTACTTGTTGTTCAAGAATGATCATTTTTTAGTTATCTTATGTCAAATAAACAAATGAATATAACTTTCTTTTGTCTGGGAACAGGTGGATGTCCGGTGATTAAGGGGGACAAATGGTCCTCTACCAAGTGGATGCATGTTAATGAATACTAGTAATGTAACTACTGGGAAACTGTGTGCGACTGAGATTCATGTAACTCTTTAAACTAAGGTCCATTATTCTTCAATTAGATCGGTCATTTTTATTTTTTGACCTAATTTATGTATAGGTTGAGAAGTAGTGGTTTCTTCTTTGTCCGTGTTTTCCCATGGAAATACTGAGAAAATATATGATGTAATACTTGGAGTTTATAGATACATTAGGAGATAGGGTACAGAAATCATTATGAATCCATGCCATATTTTTTACTAAGTTGTTTTTCTCTGGTTGATTTAGTTTTAAATTAGGCATTAATCCAAATATGAGCTTCGTTTAAAAAATTACCAACACAAATATTAAACCTAAACCTTAAGTGTAATTTCTTGTTGAAATAATTGTATGATGATGTAACACAAAACAATTAGAAAACACAATATACAACCCGACTAAGATATGGGTGCTATTCCAATTTTGTCAAAATATGTTTTCAACTCTTTTATTTTGGTTAAATGATATCAATTTATCTCTTATTTTTTAAAATGTTCGTTGAAAATAATAATATTATTTTTATTTAAAATTTCTACTCTAATTATCGATATCGTTTATATCTTTTAACAACATCTATTCAATAGCATATTAAATTCATAATTATCTGATTTTGAAATAAGAATGATTATACGATGTGTATTAAATAAAAAATCCTAATGTTAAGTAAATATAACAAATGATTACTAGGAAATCATTTATATATATGGAAGAAGAAGATAAAAGAATTACTTAAAAAAAAAGAAAAGAAAACTATAGTCTCATGATGACTTAATGTTATTGTTCTGATTGATGGATACAGTCAACTCATTAGATGATTAGTAAGAAAATGGTATTTGGGTTTAAAAAAAAAATCTTCGGTATAGAGCTTATGTCTTCGATCGGTTCCCCCAACCCACTTTCCCCCTTCTTTGAGGACTTCGTCGCCTTTGCCTTTGAACAAACCCATATTTGTTTCCTGTTCATCCAGAGTGGATCCAAGTTCGTTTGTCTACTCCGACGACCTTTGGTCATAAAACTAAATTATATTTGTCGTATCTGTCGCAAATACAATCGTGAGGTCATGGTTATGGATGTTACGGATATTACACAACATGTTATGATTGTTTTAGGTGTGATTTCTTTTTCAAAAATCACAATATTTCTAAAATATTATAATTTTACACTTTACAACTATATTTTAATATTTTGTTTTAAACATAAAATTAATTTTAAAGATAAAAATTTATTAAAAATAAATATAAATCATGCAAGTGCTATCATGCTGGATAATAAGTAATAACAATTATAATTTTAATGAATAACATATGAATAATCTCATTTAAAAACATATCAAAATTCTCATATTTAACATAACTTAAAAAGAAAAATAATACATAAATACAAATATAAAAATTATATCTCTTATAGTTTATCACCAAAATGAATGACCTGGCAAATCTAAAGTGTTTCCATCTCTATCATTCTCTTAGTTTTGATTCCTTGCTATTTCATGTGAAGAAAACATCACATTATGTTCATCATAAGATGGATCATTGGTAGAAAACATGTTATATGGTAAACAATGATAATAACTTCTTAAACATGTTCAAGAAATTCTCTCATGTAAGATACTTTAGCTTAAAAGTTATTTCTATTGTGTCCCACTAATCTATTATGTCATCATAAAACAAAGCGACAAACACATTCCAGATTACCTTCTAGAGTAAGACATAACTTCCTTGAGGTCCTCAACATCTCTTTCATCCACTGATCAATTACTATCAAGCCATTATTGTTAGTATCAAAGAAGATAATGGTATTACACCTTTAGAGTCGCTTTATTGTAAGAAGGGGAGAAGTAGGAGGGGTGCACTGTGTTCTCAGAATTTCTCTCACGATCTTGCTGTCATAACGTTTCTGCGAGGGACCCATTAGACTTAAAATATTTAGTTTCGGGAAAAGCGATGAAATAAGATTTTGAAAAACAATTTGAATTTGGAGTCGCCACCAACCATTAAGTTAGGTAGGTTGGAAACCTTAAACGAAAAAAAAGCGGTCAACATTTTACAAAAGATTCATTTTTAAGGGTTCAACATGAATTTTTTATCGGGTAGATTACTAGGGCTCACTATATGCTGTATTGGGTTCTAAGAAAAATGGTACTCGAATTGTCCATGTTGGTGCCTCCTTAGGCTGCCAAACCCTCACTCCTTACCCATTATAGGCTCGTGCGGATCGAGTTCAATTCGAGAGGATACATTCCCTTATGTCAGTGCGGAGAAACAATTTATCTCACGTAGACATAAGGTATATGGACCCCAAATGTTACTAGCTAAAACCCATGCGGAGAAACAAATTATCTCACGTAGGCTAAGCTTTCACCTCAACTTAAAAAGGACAAAGCTCGTAAGTGAGCTTATGATATATAAATGTATGTGTTGTATGTGAGGAGAAACTCACAAACCTTTAAAAGCACGACAAAAGATGAAAATTTTACAAGCTAAAAACCTGTTCAATTCTGAAGACCAATAAGATCAAAAGTCATTTGGTAAAAATAAAATAATGTATAATATGTTGAAATTCAAAATAAATAAATGGATCGTAAATTAAATACAATTTAAATTTGTAATTCCCAAAAATAAAAACAATGTATAATCATTTATGGCCTGACTCTCGAGGTTCCTGGTGGAGTCGCCAAGCTATCATAACGTTTTCGCGAGGGACCCGTTAGACTTAAAATATTTAGTTTCGGGAAAAGCGATGAAATAAGATTGTGAAAGATATTTGATTTTGGAGTCACCACCAACCATTAAGTTAGGTAGGTTGGAAACATTAAAAAGAAAAAAAGACGGTATGTGCTTTATTAAAGATTCATTTTTAAGGGTTCGAAAGTCTGTTACGTGTGGGGAAGGGTTAATACCCCCACACGCCCAAATTTTGGTACCTAAACAATTATATGTTGTTTAAATATTGGAATTACAAACTCGAAAATATATTTAAATTATGATCCTACTAATCATTCGAATTTTTTAAAAAAATGTTAACTTTCGGATTGCAAATGTCTTTTTGTATGAACAATCTTCGGGAAAAGCACTTCCTTTGTAGTTAGGAGACTTTCACATAGATTCCCCTAACAAAAGCGTTATTTCACAATTTTTGCAAAAATAAAATACCATAAAATAAAACAAAATAAAAGTGAAAAATAATCAGAATAAATAAACGTGGAACGAATAAAAATATCGAATATAACATTTGTGAGGAAAATCCTCGGAAAGACATCTTCTCTTTAGTTGGGAGAAGTCTTCATAGATTTTCACCACAAATAAATTTCCATTTTCATACATACATGAAATGATAGCGATCAATAAAACAAAGTTACAAATTTGGACTAACATACACATTTACAAACATAATAAATTAAAATACAAATGAAATTAGACATGCCTAATAAAATAAAGGATTAAATAGTAATAATAGAAATTTACAGGACTAAAATAACAAAAATAGAAACTTAAATGACAAAAATAATAAAAACAGAAAGTTAAAAGACCACAATAGAAAATACAAAAATTTAAAGGACTAAAATCATAAAAATGTAATCTTAAAAAGCTAAACAGTAATTACAAAATAAACAGAGCCCAGATCATAAATATTAAATAAAACAGGTACTAAAAATGAAAATAACCCATAGACAATTTAAATGACTGAAATGAAATAAATAGAAAGATAAAGGGCTAAACAATAATTAAACCAAAATGTCAAATAATGACTAAAATAAAGCATTTATAAATGTGATGACTATATTCAAAAATTAACAAACATTGAATAATAAATATACTAGTGACTTAAATGTAAACGCTGGAAAAGTAAAGGTTCAAAACAAAACAGTACAAAGTTACATTAATGGTTAAAATAAACATTTACAAACGATGAGGGACCTTAATAGTAATTATCCCTCAACAATTAAAATGACACAAGTGAGATTACAAAAGATACAAGGATTAAATATGAAATTATCCCTTTACATTGAAACACACGCGTGTAAGATTACAAAATAACTAGGACTAATATTGATATTATCCCTTAAAAATTTAAAAACACAGGGAAACTATTAGTAGACGAGGGACTGAAACTGATAATATCCCTTTTTCCCCAAAAACACACAGCCTTAACCCCTCGAAACGACGTCGTTTGGATGTTGTAATATACCACGTTTAGGGTTATAAAACCCTAATCCCTCATTTCAACCTTCTTAGCCGCTTCTCACATAAAACACAAGGGAGAGAGTTTCTTCAAACTCTCCCCAGTTTCTGCCAAAGTACCCACTCCGACCGTCGTGGATTGGCGTCGATCAGAGAGCAAACCGGTCCCAAACGATCCTACCTTTTACCCTCAAACCAAAACCCACCCCTGAATCACCTAAATCTCTACCTCCCAACTCTAGATCTAAAAAATCCAGAGGTTACCTTTGAACTTCAGTGACCTAGGCTCGGTGATGATCTTGGTGATGACTTCTCAATAGGTAACATTTCGATTCCCCTCTATTTTCTTTTTTTTTTATTTTTGTTTTATGTTTTTTCGATTCTTGAGGGTTTTCCTCTCTCTCTATTTTTTTACTCTCACCACTATGTGTATTTTTTCAAACCTTGAATGATTCCACTTTTCCTCTGAAAACCCCCTATTTTTATTTGAAAACCCGAATGCCCCATTTCCTCTGAATACCTCGTTTTTATCTTTCTTTTAATTTGGTGGTGACTTGTGATAGATTTGAAGGCTAAGATAGGGTAAATGATACCCTAGGATAAATGATACGATTTGAGGAATTAATTTGGATTTTTTTTGATATTTTGTCTATTTTTCACTGTTTGAGGGCTTTCAGTCACTATTTGGTGTAGGTTTGAAAACGACGGTGGCTCGGTGGTTCGACGACGGCTCACGCGATGAGGGGAGTCTGGCTTGAGCAGCAGCTGGGAACTGAGGAGTTGAAGGCGGCGGCTGAGCTGTTAGGGGATTAGGGTTAAAACTGTAATCTATTTAGGGTTACAGAGTTAGGTCGTGTCCCCTCCGGGTCGGGCCGAATTTG